TTGCTTCACGGACCTATTGCCTGCAGTTCTAACGAGTTCTAAAAGCAGACGGGACGGTAAACCTAAAGCCTAGTAGTAGAAAAGCAAATGAAAGCTAAAATTTTTTACATACCCAGAAGACAGAACCCAGAGACTGTTATAATTAGCTCGAAAAAGAACAGATGTTGACATTCTAAAATGTTTAAAACTGTGACAGGACCTATGGATCGATAAGCAACTGAACCCATCAAGCACCAAATCGCCGCGGTCAGAGGTACTGCTGGCCATAGAAGGCGAAACTTCTGTACATGGCGCTGCATTAATTACGACTGGAGACACGTTTTTCTTGTAGTGGCGCTTTGTAAAGTATTGAAGAATGGATCGCTGATAGTTTCATAGGGTAACGATCGATGTGTTCACGGCCAAAAGATCTCGAGTTTACACCAACGCTGCTGGGTCGTTTGGACGACCATTACTCTCGCAGAACCGCTCATCGGGTACAAAACGAAAATATCGAAACACGGTGCAGCAAAGTGAATTGTTTAGTGTAAAATAATTATGTGAAAAACCTCAGTATCCTATTAAAAGTAGGCTCGCAGATGTCAAAAAAGACTGCATTTTTGAACTTCATGGGGGAAGTATTAAGTTAACTGAGACATGATAGACAAGCAGAAGACCCAGAGTTTAGCCTGTCAATTTCTATCTTGTCCCGTTGCTATTCGCAACAATGTGAACCTTGTTTAATTATTGGATAATACGTTTTTAAAAGGACCACGACACATTTCGAAAAACGGAGCATTCTGTTATTCGTGAATTCTTCGAAAATGAAAGTATTTTGACAGAAATAATCCCGTTATTTCCACAGCTAAAATGCGATGAAGGACCACAATTGATGACAAAGGTTGGGAAAAAGTCAGACACATTAGACCATAAGCGGAATAGACAGCACGTTTGGTCGGAATAACAAACACTCAAATCGTTTATTCGATGTTGAATAATTGGTTGTATTAAAAAAAACAAGAACTGAGCTATATTTGTATTGTTAGGATGACAGCAAAATATTGTAAAAAGGAAGTACTACTGAAGAATTATTGAAGTACATGCAAAAAGCGTAGAATGAGAATGGTACTGTTTGCTATATTTTGTGTCATGTTTTTCGAGTAAAAGACCCCCATGTACTCGGATCTCGCAATATGAGCTCTAGTCTCCGAATATAATCTCGAATTCGGACAGCCAATCTTGTACTTCGCTCACGTATTGGCATCGTCAAATTGGCTACCGACTAGTATTATTCCTTGGGGATAGTGTGCGATAATAGACGGGTAGCAGTAGCGACAGAGTCCCCTTCTGGTCACCAATGAGTTTAGTTTTATGACTGCATTTGGATATTATCAATCCAATGGATTTTTTGATTGAGACTCTGACATCCCTTCTCGCTTTAATAAATCGCAAACTTGAATACTTTGTCATTGCCAATCTCCTTACAAAGCCTGCCAGAACTTGTAAGTTTTAAGGAAATTAAACAATGTTTAGGAATAGCTTTGTAGGACAGTAAAGCGTGCAGTGATTTAGAAGCTATTTTGATATCGAAAAGCGCCCGTAAATTTTCCAACTACACGATTTTTGGTCAGTTTGGTCAGTGAGCATAAGCTCTTTTGAGATAAGGTGGGACTTATTTTTGTGCATATGAGGGAGACCCTGCATACAAACTGAAGGGTGAGACCGGTTTTTTGAAACTTTGTCTGAGTCATAGTTGTTGGCTTAAAGTCTGATTGGGGGCTATAAATAGAAAAGTCATAAAAGACTGAAATTAGAATTTCAGGATTATTTGCTTTAACTGAGTGGCACAACCTGGGGTTGGCATACTGGTCAGGTTGATTATCAAACGAGACGTCCTGAACTGTTGTAACCATTTGAAAATGTGAACGATTATTCTTGTGCGACCTGACCACAGCGGTCCCTGGATTCTGCTTCTTGGGCATTTATTCATGTTACAGTTTCATTAAGTTTTCCATCAAATTGACTTTGCGATTCTGCAGTACTTAATTTTTATTATGGCGGAGCAAGTAATTTTTACTAACAGCTGGATCGCGAGACTGCTTTTACTGCCATGGCGTGTGCAGAGGTGTCCAATCAGGGGGTACATGGTGCAGATGCGGTAGCTGCTCCGAACAGTTATTAACTGGCACTCGACTCTCATCTGTGGCTCTCCGATGCTAGACTCTGCCAAGCAGTCACCACACATCTCCTCACCAACGCGTACATCTTGTAGAAACCCGTCCCACATCATCCGCCGCGGGCACGGAAACGTGTTTTTTGACTCCTATTATACCATGACGCATGTGAAATCCAAACAGCCTATCCCTCTGTATAAAATCCTAGTGGGTTGTGCTGAAGGCCAGGTCGTGTGTGGACTGCGAGGAGAGCTTAGGTTTAGCTCCCTAACAACCACTTTACCCAACCGTCACATCAGACAATTGACCGGCTCGGATAAGCGACGGTGAACGAAAGAGAGTGAGGCCGACTCTGAGGACTCCATCGCTGCGGCGTTTAAATGCATTCCTTGCTACGAAAAAGCTGAGGCCCCTGAGTCCATCACGATGTGACGAGCGTCGTGGTTTGAAAGACTGCCAACTGGCAGTACAGCTCAGACCGCATAGGTAGCTCTCTGTGTGTTTGTATGAAGTGACCGAGCGGGGGACCGAGAGCCGGAACCCACGGTTCCCCACTTTGTTGACACGGCATATTTCCAGGAAGTTTCTTAAATTATCACGGATCGCCAAAAGCCATGGCTTGGAAGGTTGCCAACTGACGGATACACTCAGTCCTCCCCTCAGGGCTGGGACTCAGGCTGCAATGACACTCTCACTCAGAGGGGATCCGGGCCGACCACTTGTTTCTGTGGAAACAAGGTCAGTAGTGTGCGGATCAGGTCGTGTTTGGTGCAGGCAGGCGGACTGTTTAGCTTTGTCAGCCACTGCCTCCGAGTCCACCTCCAGTCGACCTGACTGTGCCTTGCCACCACATCCTGGTGAGTGGCGGAAGAGAGAGTGTGGTAGATGCTGCGCAAGGTTGATATCATTTAAAACTAACTCTCGCTCAGATCATCACCTCCTGCCCCCCATGCTGAGGGGCGCATGGTGGGCATCGTCAATCGCGACGGTCGAATTGTCTCTAACATGTCTTACGAAGCTGGCGATCTGCTTGAAATGCCACCTGTTAGGTTACTGATGAGTGGATGCCTAGATCGTGCGTTCGAATCTCCACATTTACCAAAGATTAATGATCGTGTGACAATTCTCGCGACTGATCAACACCAGTTGGCGCGCAATGTACTATTGGGGACACAGCTAACCACAGCACGCACGTTTTCCGCGGATCATCCTAGTAGGCACTTTGACACAAAATGCAGCTATGAAATTTGCCACCGGCGATCTGCCAAATTCTTTATTTATCAGCATTACTTTATATTACTGAGGCGTCGTAGCTAATTCCTGCATTAAAACCACTTAGAGCTGGCGGCCATTTTCCACAAAATGGCAAACAGGTAGAGGGTTATGCTGGCGGAATCTTCGTAGGAATGTATCAAGCGGCGAGCACTAAGGCGGGTGTTTTGCAGTAGATAACAGCATGTGATCACCCCAATCAGATCGCGGTTCTTTTCCGTGCCAGGTTTCAGTCAGAGTTTTATCAAAAATTTTTTTGGCAAATGCCGTGGGTCAATTAATAAGATTATTATTTACTTTAAAAAACAGTTCCTGCTCGCTAATTTTTCGAAATTGGAATGTTGAACTTACAAATATTCTGTGCCTAAAGTCAAGTTCAAAATTGCTCCGGAGTAGAGTGTACTCGGCTATGAGAAAGTTCGGGTAAAAAGCGAGGTACTCAACCAGTCAAGCCCATTTTCTAAAATTTCTTTTTATCGAAACATAAGGCGATGTCAATTGTCTGAGTAGTCGGTGATACCGTCTGCAACTAAAGACCTCAACATAGACTCACATAAGCAACATTATACTTTGCATTCGGGGAGAGATAAATTCTGTACCGGTGATTTACTGCTAAGCTCAAATGGCACCCGTTCAACAAAAAAAACTGAAGGTGATCATAATGTCCACCAAATTCGAAAGCAAACGTCTGAGTATAAGCACTTCCGTACAAGTCCCTTTCTCCCCAATACCTGCCTACCACCCCTGCTACTTAGTCGCGGTGTCTTTCGATGAACGGATGTTAGTATCTGACGTAATGTCGGAGTCGTTTCGGTGCCCAGTGCTCAAAAAGTTCTCGCTCAAGATCTACAAACCAGAGTGCGGGTTAATCGGTCCACCTGAGATCCACCGATCATGCTTTTCCCGACCCATTTTGTCCTTCTTGTGTGCACAGTCAAGGCATCCTGAAATTTGCAGTTAAATCAGGGCAAATTATTCCACGAAGTGGGTTTTTTGCTCTCCTTCAAGATTTCCAAATGCATTTCTGGAGACCACTGCTGATTTAGTATTGTTCGGCGGTGTCCCGGTTGCCCAGGGCGCCCTATCCAATTTTGGCAAAATGTGCCTTGCTAAACCTAACACCCACTATTGGAACTCAACTTTGTCTCAGGTTCTGTTACCTGATATCAGGCTCACAAAACCACCCGAAAGTAATTTCCAGCAGTATGCTTTTTGAGTGAACACCAATTCGGTCCATTATGTTCCCTGGAAAACAGCACGAGTTTTGACGCGCTACCATTATCATCTGCTTTTCATAGTTATGCCTGATGATGAAAGACGAAATTATAAAACTGGTGATAAAATAATTTAAATTCTGAACCGAGGTGTCGGACTTATAAAGGACAATTCTGGGATACGTAGGAGAAAACAAATATGATTTTTTAAAAAGAGGTAACTTTAAAAGTACTGATGGACAAATAAACGGTAGGAAAACAGCGTAAAATATTGGATCAAGTTCAGGTAGAAACAGGAATTTTAGCTTAAAATGTACAAAAAATTGAAAAATCACAATAAAGAAGAGTTGTCTGAGTAAGCCTAGTGGACGTGGTACTTCGAGCAGGTCAGTCCCATGTATTCTCCTGACTCAAAGGCTTCTTGATCAATGCCACCAAGTTGCCATTCACGATTGAGTCGTTGGAAATACCATTGCTCCATGCAGTCGTAGGCCTCGGGGTAGTAGTCCGCGTGCATCTTGTTTGCAAAGAGATGATGACTATGTCGCATCTTAGGAACATGCGGGCTGCCGAGTATGCAGACCCCGCGAACATATTTGGTGGGGCAGAATGTATGCCGATCTCCCCAGAGAACATAGCGTCCTGGGTAGCCTTCATTGACTTCCGTTGGCAGAGGGATGTTAAGGCAAGCACCAGGTGCCCCAAGGTGAGAGTTAAAAGCGAGGGTCTGGAAAAAGAGCTCATCTGGATGCAAAACCTCCTTGTCTGACATGACAGCGTCCAAGAGAGGCCGCGACTTAGGACTGTGTAATGCAAATTTGAGGAATTCGCGGCGGAAGGCTCCGTACAAGCTCCCTTTGAACCACTTCATCTGTTTGAATATTGTAAGAAGACATATGCACGATGTTGAGTACATATATGCAGATAGACGATATTGTGTGACATTCAAGACTGCTGGTCCGTAAAGGTTTTGAGTTCATGAACAGCGCTTGTAGCACGTCGCTGCACAACTTCCAAATTATCCATATGCTACCGAAGCCTGTACCTCATATCCCAGGTGCAGTCGCATAAATGCCCCATTTACCTTTTCAAGTACATCTGCATTCAAGTTAATAAAAGTTTTCCGTATCGCGCTTCTGCTTGAGGTTGCCCGCGCTGAGAATTTAGAAAACTGCGTGGTTGCGCCTCAGTGACTCTACAAATTCTTCAGTTAGTCGATGTAGGAGTACACCTGGGATCTCATCTGACCCAGATAAAGAGGAGTCATTGCAGTCGGACTATCCTCCTTGCAAATATAATCTAACATTTTAGACTACAACCACCCTCTCCGCCATCGGCCTCCAATCCATTTTCATCCCGGCCAACAGTCCCGATTTAAATCCTATCGACAATCTTTTTGGAATAGTTAAAAGAAATTGGCACAAAGCTAAGAAGACTCTTTCAATGCAGGAAAAATTGGATTTCATACCCAATAAATACATTTTACAATCGACCATAGATAACCTCGTCATGTCTATGTCTGACAGACTTTCTGCCGTTATTAATTCAAATAGACAATCAACAAAGTACTAATTTTTTGTATCTGTTTCTGTCCTTAATTATTTTTGACCTTTGATGCGCCCTCCTCCTTTATACACCCTCATACGTAGCCTTTATTAACTTGGTTGTAATATAGGCGTTTCTCGAAAATGTGGCTTTTGTCGAAAATTATTTATTTTTATCTCAGTAAATAATATTTTCTTAACCAAACTTTGCTTTATTTCTTTGACACATCTTTTATTTTCTGCTATCAGACTTTGGGAGCCGTAGTGTTTACCGATTCTGCGTTTAAGTCGTTAACCTGTGTTAATTAATGACATTTCATGAGTTAGCACAGGTACTGTAGTAAAAGACACATGTACAATGTTGAGTACACTTACGCAGATAGACGATATTGGGTGACATTCAAGTTGACAATCTTCAGTTTGCTGTTAGCGCTCTCATCACCTGCATTTGTGGGTAGCAGACGGGGGAACTGTAGGTGTATTGTTTAGACGAAAATTTACAAATAATTCATGCATTCCATTGACTACCTCATCCATCGAATCGCCTCAATTCTGCGACAGCCCACGCTAACCTACTGGCGAGCATAGTGGGAAATAACACTGCACCAAGGACGCACACACACTAAGCAGACGGAGATGGGAGCATAAGTTTGCAGTTTTATGATTAGGAGATAATCAGATGTCTATCATACGGAAAGGACCGTTATCTAGCCAAATGAATGAATTCAGCTATAAATTTCAACCGGATGGTGAAGTTGGCGGGATTGTGGACGGATGCAAGCAAACGTCAATCGATTTTCAATGAGCGCATATTGGATAGTCTGAATGGAAGGAAACACAGCGGAAACAACAGCAGGCGACGAGATGCGTCGAAAGCGTGTATTGATCGTCCCCTAATTGAGCAGATGCCATCACAGATCACTTCTGAAAAGCCGCCTTGTTGACATGTTAGTGAATTGTATTAGATTAGAGCTGCACTATATTAACATTCACCAATAGCCCCTGAATGAGTTTGATAAGTCAAATATGTATGTGGACAGTTCAGAACAAATTTGTAAAAGCGTACCTAGTGCAGGTCTTTCCTCGAAATCGGTGCCCCGCTCATCACGCACATGAAAGAGGCCAAATTACCCCCTACGTATGAAGCAAGTCCGATGGAACTGGAATCTAATTCGGCCTGCTTGTAAGCGCCTGGTTGAGATGTACTCATTATATCGGGCATTTCGTCAAAAACGGTGTACAGAAGAATGTTAAATGAGGAATTTGTGTTTGACCCATGGACTGAGTTTATACTAAGATGCATAAAACCAAATTAAGTAAATTTTTCCAACAATTTCTTAGCCGTCCATCCCAGAATCAATAAGACAATTTTCCTCACATAAAGCCTGAGATATCTTTTGTATTAGGCCCGGAAATTAGACCAACCAGCAGACGACTTGGCATATTGACGAGCTATGCGACACGGCAGTTAATAAGACAAACCTAATCAAGTGATGTTTCAAAACTGAATTTACAGACATCATTGTGCGAAACATTTTGACCGTTCTCATTCACCACAGATGTTTTTTCTACCGACAACTTTTGGCGTTTTTAGGTTGATGCATGACAACAGTGTCTGCCAGGATAATCTCCCCAGTTTCAAAGAAGTTCCCCTGGACGTAGCCACCTGAAGACTACAAAATCCGACCTACAGCCTTTCTGAATACAAGTTGAATTCAACTAGTCGGCTTCATTTCTGCTCGTAGGTTGTCACAAAATATCGACTTTCCGTCACACGTTATAATGCGAATGGCAAATAAATGCCTTTCGTTTCATATCAGCAGTTCTGAAAAAATTCCAAACACCGAAATGTTTAATGTTCGTTGAGGTGATGCGTCATTCAGTTGTCTAGTTCCTATCCCTATTCCGTCATTGTGCAGATGTTTGGGAGGGGTGTGTGTGCGGGACACTCCAAGTGGCATGGCTAACTCGCGACTTCTAAAACTTCGGTAAGGCCATAAGAGGGATTTCTAACGCACCCTGCTCTCGAAGTTGCTTTCGCCGTCGCTAAACCCTTCAAACGAACGTCTTATTGCACGCTCTACAGTGCTCTTTTTATCAAAAGCCGCGTTGATTTTGTAGGCATACTGAACCTTATGGAACTACCAGACATCCAGACATAGAAGTAAAAGTACCTGAAGCTGCTGTATATATGCGGCAGCAAATGAAAAAAAGGGCAGACACCAGCATTGGATAAATGATTAAGCTGAATTAGCACAGAATATTACGCACCCTACTGGTCTCGTTCGCATGCAACCAAATTTTCCATATTCTCCTGTTTTTCTTCGCAATCCCTATGACCTCGTCGTTTTTTCTAATAATTGTACAAAACAATTCAAACTTTCCGTGTCCTCCACACCTGCCACTAACCTACCAGTGGCAGTGAGAGAACCACCCTGAACATTGTTAACGCCAATTTGCTGTACTTTTCACAAAGTGTATGCTTTCATCTGGACAAATTAGACCAGAAGTCCACAACGCAGAATACCAAAGGCGAGCCTTTCCATGGGCGTGCATTGCTGATGCAAACATTTCATATGCTGCGAAAGAGGAAGGTTTGAATACGAAGGCAATGGTTACACAGAGGCGGCATATTTATCCGCATTTATAGGCACAGTAACTGAAACTATTCTTTGCTTTCAATTCTTACTCTATGAAGCTGACGCTCATTAAACAACTTAGATCAAAACATATATGACAGGTACTTGGGCCTGAGTGAGTGCGGTGAAATGTCCACCTAACAGATGTACTGACGGATGTAGTGGATGCGTAGGGGCTTCTTTCATATGTAGAAAATGCGACAGACGATTAGAGACAGTTAAATGGGCGGTAGAGTATTGACGGACGGAAGTTAAGTGGGGTGGCGCAAAGTGCGTAACTGTCGACAAGGAAGGGTCCACCAGCTGTCCTAATGATAGATAACGTTCAGCATCTTCCCATTGCCAATTGAGCATCACTTACAGGCCTGCACCTAATGGACACTTCGAGCTGCCTACCAACTGGTTACTTTCTCAAAAGGACCTATGTCGAGCATTTTAACTGGAGAATGTTAGGTATACATGAGTGACGAATATAGCCATTGCCCTCAGTCAATGTCTGAAGTAATTAAACAGATAACTCACCACCGCAGCATTCAATAAAATGTCTAAATATTTATTACAGGGCCGTCATGGAGTGCGATGGTTCGAGAAAGATCCCACATCACAGGTCATGGAAGACAGCTTAGGTAAGGTCAGCATTACTGATGCGACAGAGCGTAAATGGGGTTCAGCTAGTAGCTGCCAAAATCTGTCTCTTCAGACGTGTGTGTGTGTGTGTGTGTGTTGTGCCCTCCAAACGGGCCACGTGTCAGATGCGCTGGACTAACACGGGGGCCACGTCGGACTCTGGCAGGCGTTATCTGTGCGCAATAACAAATGCCAACATTTGCGGGGTGCGCTGGCGGACCCTGTTGTCGGCATTCGTCGCACAACTGGACCACTGCCGCCACCCCATTGTTTTGTGGTCAAAATCCTGGTCATTTGTGTGTGGACCAGGGGGTGCGGAGTGGAGCGCCAAGGCGAGGATCCGTCCGAGACATCCACATGCGGCCTCTCCCGTCTCCGGTCTTCTTGACTCTGTCTTGACACCGGGCTCAGGCGGGGGAGGAGGAGAGAGTGTAGGTAGATGCTACGCAAGTCTACTGGCACTATAAACCCCTGCGTAAGTCACCGTCCCTGCTCCCACAATGCAGTCTGTGGGGCACACGGTGGACATCATCGAAATCGATGGTCGAACTGTCGTCGTGCGTGTGTGTGTGCCCTCTGGGGTGTAGGGGTGTCAGCGGTGGGTTCACGTGATGGTCGTAGTGGTCACTCACTTGCTTGCAGGTGAGACTACGCCTAGCGTCCATTTGCTGGCACCTAACTCTCACCTGTGGCTCCACGTAGCTGGGCTCTGCTCAGCGGCCACACCCCGGGCAACCGTCTCGACCGGCGGGCTAAACCAGGTGAGGGTATCCGTGCGTGCACCTGCACGCGCGGTACTGTGGTCAGCGCTGGCCGGATGGATCTTCGCGTCGACATCGTCGAGACGAGGCTCTGCCTGGACCATCGCAGGAGGCCACCAGGTAAGTTCCCCCTCAGGTAAGTGCGCTTGCTTTGTTTCTTCCTTTTGTCTGTTGAAGTTCCTCGTCGTACGCTGCGCTTGTTGCCTGCCCTTTATATGCTAGTCTGTCTGTCAATAGCTAAACGACACCCTCGATGCCTGCTGCGATTGTCTGTCCGTCAGTCTATGCCACTCTCTACTAATAGCTAGGTGTTACGGTGCTTGACTTTGTGTGGTGCCCTCACTTTGTCTCTGACTGGTGACTGTGTCCGCTTGTCCACTCTAGTTCTAAGTCCCATAGCGTTAGGTTGTGTGTATGCTCTCTCCTACTTTACTCCATCACATCACCACGACCACAAAGGTTCCAGGCTAATTCGGGTCGTTCTCTCACTCACAAAATGTCGTGGCCTATAGTGGAGTCCGGCAGCCGTCTGGGATAACCGGGCAGCCCTGTTCAGGGATGCGTTTCCTGCCCTCGCAAGGGGGAGGGAGCTAGAAAAGGTGCCCTAAATATCGCTGGGAACCACGCTGTCTGTAGGCTGGCCGTGGCCGCAGACAAAAAACACACAGTCGAAACAGCCAAAACCGAAACAACAACAACAACAATCACTCCCTTCCTCTTCCAGCCTATTCTTCTTCTTCTCCTACTCCTACTTTTCGCCGCCGCAGTCGCCAGACTGGCAGGGTGAGCCCGCTCACCCTGGCAGCCTGGAATGTTCGTTCCCTTTTAGACAATTCGAGGAGCAACCGACCGGAACGGAAGACGGCGCTAGTGGCACGAGAACTGGCGCGCTACAAGGTGGACATCGCCGCACTCAGCGAGACCCGATTCTCCGAACAAGGCCGACTGGAGGAGGTGGGTGCCGGCTACACCTTCTTCTGGAGTGGTCGACCCAAGGCAGAG